AGATAAAAAAAAAAATTTGTTGTTAATGGATATTATAACATTTTATTAAAATTTGAAGTTAGATATTATATTGTATTATATTTATTTTAAATTTTTATGTGTAAAGAATTTATATATAATTTTATTTTAACTTTTAATATTATAAATTATAATATTATATATAGTTAATATTATTTTATATTAATAACAATAATTATTATTTTATTAAAACTTCTTTGATTATGATTCAATTATGATTAAGCTATTAAATTTTGAAATAGTATTTAAACCGATAAAATGAGGAGTTCAGTTTTAAAAGTATTGTATTAAACTTAAACTCATTTTTCTGATTGTTTTTTTTCCAAGTTAAGATTGTTCATTAATTACTCAAACTAAGTTTAAATGGACAAATTAAACTGAAATTTAACCGTTAATAATTGTAAACGTGTGACAACGGTTTTAGTCTTGTATGTCATTAAAGCCACGTGTATCACGATTTCATGTTCATTTAATTAAAGATGTTAGATGATTAAAAAAAAAAAAAAACTACTATCGCTATCGTGATAAACAATATACATTAGATTTTCAATGGTGAAAGGTTAATGATGCAGTTTTAGTCAAGTTTTAGAGTTTAAAAAAATACACTGCAGCCATGTTCAACCAGTCAAAGCTTCCTCTAAGATCTCTCCGATGCTCTATACAAATCCTTCCAGTGTTTCTCGTCACTCATCATAATTCTATTTGTACCATTTTCTCTTTCGATGTTTTCTTCCCTCTAATCTGATGCAGAAACTAAAAAATACAATGATAAATGGATCTTGCTTTTAACCTACCATTATATCATTTTTCTTTTTTGCAAAAAATTGATGTACATATATATATGACAAATCAATTTATTTGCATTTGTAATATATAGGAACAAATTAGAATTGATGTATCAATCAACATCCATCTAGAAGAAACAAATTTGGCATTTTTGGCAGTTGAATTCTCCTGCCAAATTTTCTTGTGCATCTTGAATAATTCATCATATAGTTCAAATCCAGATCTATATTTAATTTTTTTAAAATAAAATAATGAAGCATTCTTACGCCACTTGAGGACGTGTTTCAACCCGCTCTGACATCGACTTAATTAGCAACATAAAAGTTGATATACAGTTAATTTATGTTAATGATAACGATAGCGAATTAATTTATGTCCATGTGGCGTTACACATTGTTGCATTGCTCTTAACTAAAATAATATATAGCACATGGTATCGTTCAATATAATTCATATTTATAAGTAAATTAATAAAAAATTTCTCAATAATTTGTGCATAGAGACTAATTTATATAATTTTACCTTACATGCATTTTGATTTTCCAAGTATTGTATTTGTATAATTTTGATTTTATAATTTCAATTAATAAATTTTAACTCAAGTATTACAATTCTATATTTTTAGTCTTTTTGGTTAAATAATTAATAATTTTTGTTGATGTGCAACAATGTGGCACTAAATAAGGATGGAACCATAAAAATATTAAACAGGGTGAGTATTTTTTTTAATAATAAATTTAAATAAATGTTAATTCATAATTATTAAATACTTCATGTTATTTATTTAACTTGTGAGTACCATTTCTTAAAATCATAAAATTCATCAACAATATGAAAGGTGTATCAATTTTTAATCAATCTATTAATATAATCATATACTTATTTTAATAAACATGTTTTTATCATAAAATATTTTTTGAAAGAGTAAACAAAAATTGGATGGAGGAGGGACTTCCCCAGTTAGTCCTTCATAGCTAACCCTGAAGTAGTGATGATATAGATGTAATGTCTAATGATATGATGTGATGATGTGACTTATAAGAATAAGAAAAAAAATTGTCAAAATATTAAAACATTATATTTGAATCCCTCACTCTTACTTCGGTTTATGATTTTTATTATTATTATATGAATGGAAGTTATATCACTCAGATACACATACTTACGTATACCACCCACAACCCCCGCCACCCCCCCCTCCAAAGTATATATCGTTCGAAATTTTAAAACATTAATATATTTTTAAAAACCCTGAAGTAGTGATGATATAGATGTAATGTCTCATGATATGATGTGATTTATAAAAATAAGAAAAAAATTGTTAAAATATTAAAACATTATATTTGAATCCGTACACCACTCTCCCCCCCTTCCCTCATGCTATAGCTTACGAAATGATTGTCCAATATATCGTTCGAAATTTTAAAATATTAATATTTTTTAATAAATTTATTATAAAATAATTATTTAGTTTAATATTTTATAATTTAAATTATTATTTTAATATTCAAAATGAATTTGGTACACATTTTTTGAATCATTTTATATATATATATATATATATGACTTAAATATGTTTTTAGTCC